AGTTTTGTACCTTTTACTATTAGGGAAAGTGTTTCTCTGTTTATATGCATGTTAAGGTAGTGCAGGAGTTTGACAGGTAGAGTTTTTAATTTTGGCCTGTCTACTAAAAATTGTCCCTCTCCATCTGACACTACAAGAATGAAGTTGTTAGCCACTGACCTTCAGCACACCCTGAGAGGAATTCAGGGTGGGGATCTGGAATGAGGCACTCTGTGCTCTTGGAGAAACTGGCAGTACAGGCCTTCAGATAGTTAGATACTTTGAGAAGATTTTATGAGCCCAATTTCTTTTATATTCTCACATCTGGAAAAAATCATTAGCAGAGACATCTGCTCCTCGTGACTAGCAACAGTCTTCTTGTGACCAGCAGCAGCCTTCTGCCAAAATGTGTGACTAACTCCTCATATCCCCTTTCACTAAAATTACATACATACCAACCTTGCCCCCTACCTCTTCAGAGCAACCTGAAACGCTGTCTTTCGGTTGTTGGCCTCATTTTACCCAAATAAAACTTAACTGACAGCTCTTATGTTGTTCCTTTTTTTTTTTTTTAAGTCAACAGGCCCTTAAATTCATTCATCTGTGATGATACTTTGGTTGGCAGATATCTGTTTAATCTGGTTTGTAAACATTTGTGTTTATTAGATATAAAAGGGTATGAGAGAGTTCAGAAGTAATAAACACTTGCTTTAAAAGAAGTTACGAGGGACTTCCCTGGTGGTCCAGTGGCTAAGACTCCATGTTCCCAAAGCAAGGGGCCTGGGTTTGATCCTTGGTTAGGGAACTAGATCCCACATGACACTATTGAAGATCCTGCATGCCACAGCTAAGACCTGGCATAGACTAATAAATAAATATTAAAACAAACAAACAGAAAAACTGCAGATAGTGGTAGGGGCATGTATAGGCAAGTATACAAAAGTCTATACAAAACAGAACATATTAAGTGTGATAGGAATACAGAACAGGATGAGAAATATTTAAAATGGAGGAATTTGGGAGAAACTTATAGAGAAAGAGGAATTTAGAAGACCTTCTTGAAATCTTCGTTGTTTGGAAAGAGAAGAAGTGTTAATTTTGGCAGAGAGGTAGAAAAGTGGAGGAAGTATGGTATGATTGAAACAGATGTGTGAGAAGATGGTGAGCAATAATGTTGGGTAAGTAGGGTAGTGTGAGATTTTAGAGGGTCTAAATACAGTTCTAAGTGCAGTGGGGAGTGATGGTAGGTTGTTGAATAGCATAACAATGAGGACCCAAATATGTATCATTGATTTAGATACATGTGACCCCATGGACTGCAGCACACCAGGCCTCCCTGTCCATCACCAACTCCCGGAGTTTACCCAAACCCATGTCCATTGAGTCGGTGATACCATCCAGCCATCTCATCCTCTGTCGTCCCCTTCTCCTCCTGCCCTTAATCTTTCCCACATCAGGGTCTTTTCAAATGAGTCAGCTCTTCGCATCAGGTGGCCAAAGTATTGGAGTTTCAGCTTCAACATCAGTCCTTCCAGTGAACACCCAGGACTGATTTCCTTTAGGATGGACTGGTTGGATCTCCTTGCAGTCTAAGGGACTCTCAAGAGTCTTCTCCAACACCACAGTTCAAAAGCATCAGTTCTTTGGTGCTTAGCTTTCTTTATAGTCCAGCTCTCACATCTATACATGACTGCTGGAAAAACCATAGCTTTGACTAGATGGACCTTTGTTGACAAAGTAATGTCTCTGCTTTTTAATAAGCTGTCTAGGTTGGTTATAACTTTGACATAGTAAAGAGTTATTTCAGATGCTATGACAAGATATGGTGACTAAAGCAGCTTCAAGGATAGAATTAACTCAGGGTAATTGCCTGTGGCAATATTTGAATGTTATGCCTATGGTTAGCTCTGTTTTCATAATTGGATTATTTTTATATCTTAATACCATCTTTCTATCAGGTCATTTGATCAGAAATTAAAATCCTCTTAAAATCCTGTGTTTAAGGTACTCAACAAGTATAATATTCTCCTTTTTTCTGTAAATTAAACTTAGTGTCATAATTTAGCATATAAAGTTATTTAGCACGAGCTATCATGATAAAAGAGATCTCTTCCTGGACAGTCAGAATCAGGGAAGTTGGAAAAGCTTTATAAACAATCTTCATTATTAATGAAACCATTTGTTGACTTATTTCTTGTTTATACTCATGTGTCTTTATGCTTTGTCAGATGTCTGATTCAGGAATGCATCTTAGCATGTTGTAAAACCTGTTTTAAAAATAGATGTGAGCCACTCAGTGTCACTGAAAGGTTGTTGACACAGTGGAAAACCTGTTAAATGAATTTGCAGAGCAAAACTTACCTTTACATGAAGAATGGTTGTGTTTCATTTTTTTTTTTAAACAAAATTGAAATTTTATTTCTGTAGGTTCATATGAATTTAATTAAACTATTTAGAACATTTTATACACCTAGTGTAATATTGTAGTTGATTTTTGAAATTTATTTCCAAGGATAGTATGGTATAAACCAAAGCATATTAAAAAATACTTTTCACGTAATTTTATTTGAACCAGGTACTGTTTTCCTAACTTGCATTGAAGCATTTTTCTTAAAAAAAAAAAAAACCAAAACTATTTATATGTGACAATTTAAATATTTTTCAAATGTATTAAATATCTCATATTTAGTAGATTGAATAAAAAAATTCTTTCACATTTTGTATATGAAATATATGTTATTTATACCTGTGGGACATTAGGAAAAAGGATTTTTACTTTGGTAGATAATGTGGAATTTTCATCAGTAAAGGTTGGCTGAGATTAAAGGACAGTAAAGTGAAAAATTGATATTGTCATACTTTTTGTAGCATTTTTTGTAGTTTGCATTTGGTAAGGTGGGGACAGAAGCCGGGGAAAAGGAGAGTTAAACCAATTGGGAAAACATACACATATCTTAACAGACAGTTGCAGTGACTGTGTAATGTTTTAATGAATAGTCTGCTGACAGAATCAAGGGAAAACCTCTAGGACAAAATGTGGTTACAATTAATGAAGTATTCCCAGAGGCCTCCAGGAAAAAACAAAGGGGAGATTTTCCTCCCAAAACCTTGGTAAGAGAAATGAAGGTAGTCACATTTGACTGAGGAAGTTCACTTTGTGAACAAAGGATGTGAACTTTGAAGTCTCTCAATAATTGGTGTGTATATAGTTGAGAGTTGACATTGCACTCTTAAGGTAATTAGGTGGTGGTGGTGTTTAGTTGCTCAGTTGTGTCTGACTGTTTTGGAACCCCATGGACTATAGCCTGCCAGGCTCCTTTGTCCATGGGATTTCCCAGGCAAGAATTTTATTTTAAATGTCAATAAAAAGGGATTGAACTTTGTTTTCCTTCTTTAAACTGATTGCCGTGTTTAAAAAAAATGAACTATTAATACTCCCTCGTTACTGAATTGGGGAACTTTAAAATATAAAATAATATAATTATAATTGAGCATCTATATGTATTAGACATCGGAAAGCATTTTATGTTATTGTATTATTTATTAGTCACAAGAATCTTATAGAGGATAGATAGGTATAGTTGTTCCTATTTTATAAATATAAGAAACTAGGTCATAGAGGTGAATGACCTCTTCAATATTACGTATTAGCTAGTGGAGCCATTTGAATCCTTGTCTTTTGATTCTGTGCTCCTCTTCTCATGATATGTGGGAATTTTTGAGGTTTTCACAACATGGTTTACTTGAATTTGATCAATTAAAGATACAGTCAGTATCTTAGGAAAGGTAATAAGTAATCTGGTCTCTAACAGTATCAGAAATAATAGGCAGTCACAACGTCGTAAATCAACTATTTCAGTAAAAGTTAAAAAAATTGCAGTAAATTCTGCCTTAAATTTTAGAAGTTGATCTGATTATTTGAACTTGTTGGTAATTATTGTCATTATATTTGAATCATTATACGCTGCTAAAAATGGAGTATAAAACCTCTGGTATTTTGTTTCCTCTGGGTGAACTTTGGCCATTGCAGATCTGCATGTGCCAGGATTGGCTGAGGAGGGTGCTCTCGACTCAGAATTTCCTTGAGATCCTGTTTGGCCTTGGATGATCCCAATTTGTAAAATGAATTCTGGGGCCAGTATCTGCATTTGAACCTGTCTAGGCTCATCAGAGTTGGACACGACTGAAGTGACTTAGCAGCAGCAGCAGGCTCATTCTTAACACCTGCCAGAGGTACCCTTCTGTACCAGTGTGGTATTAAAAACTAGAAAACTATTTCAGAGGTTACTGGAATCAGTCTGGAATTAATTTTCTCTAGGGGTAAGGAACCGTTAAGTTTAGTATCCAGAAGATGCTTATAAAATTGTCTGTGATAAATTTTTAAATAGTAGCAAACTGATATCCGAAAAGTCCTTAAATTAGTTATTCCTGTGTAATTAACTCTAATATTCGCTTAGTATTTAACATACATTAATTAGGTTTCTCCAGCTATTTGATTTCATTTCAACTTTTTGTAACCAAGTATCAGGGAAAATTAAATGTGATTATAAATTTTGGCATCTCTGTCAAGCTATCCATTAGCAGCAGTAATTGATGCTAGTTCCTAGGTAGAAGCTAAAACACAACTGATCTGTTACTGAGTGAATGGACTGATTCCTATCATATGTGAATTTATAAATGAAAAATTTCTTATATAACCTGGAAAATTCTGAAATTTATTTAAATGACATTTAAAAAATCAACTACTTTATAAGAAATTTTAAATGTTGTATTCGTGTAGAAAGATCCTTCTTTTATTATGGCAACTGATTTTTTGTTTACCTAAGAGAACCTGTTGCTAAAATAGTAATGAGGAAGGGTGTAATATAAGTATAGTCATACACCCCTTGCTCTGCAAGTAACCAGAGTGCTATGTATGCATGTTGTTCAGTCTCCTTTTAGAAGGTGGAAGTCAAGAAGTCCTTTGTTTTTCTCTCTCTTGCACAGCCTAACATGACAAATGTGTGATTTCAGTGGAATAAATGGCGTCCAAAGTCACAGATGCTATTGTGTGGTATCAAAAGAAGGTAAGTTGACAATCAGAGCTTTTACCTTTTAAATATTTTTATTTTAAAATGCATAGTTTTAAAATTTGATGAATTTGTGTCAGATATTACCTAAAATAAGAAAGGTAATGCTTAAAAATATTTTTCTCTGCTCCACATTGTCAGAGTATCTAAATTATTTTCAGTTATAAACCATGTTTCCAGGATTATGAATGCAGTTTACATTTTATGAAAGTGTTACATTTTTTCTTGCATTAATTTCTTTTGAGAAGAGGTAGGTTAACAGAGCTGTTACAATTTTATAACTATTTTACAAGGGTAACTATAGTTTTAATCTCTTTCTTGTAAGCTACAATTCAACAGCTGAATCTTTTCAGTAAAATAAACCTTTGGAGACTGTATTTTCCAACTGAAATATTAAAATGTTTATTTTGAAATTTTAGGAATAGTTGTTGTAACTACTTAACTAGCTCTGTCATCCTATATGTTTCAAAATAAGCCTTACCAGTTTAATGTTTTCTTTATAAAGTATAAGTTCCAGTGCCTTTTTATTTTTTTTGAAGATACTCCTGTTTACTCCTGAAGAGTGTTGTTTATACTCTTTAAAATGTATTGTTGATATATGTGGTATCTTAGATTTTTAACTTATGTAGTGAATTATGTTTGTTTTCACATTTAAAACATTTTTATGCCTTATTCATTAGGTCCCTATTAACAAAGGATAATTAAGTATTTAAAGCTTTTCCTTTGTGTGGGAAAATCAGGCCATTTTAAAATTTAGTAGTAAATAAGTGGTAATTAGCACACTTTAAAGATTAGACAAACCTAAGAATACAGTCTGTCTTTGAATATTTTATTTCTTTCTGGGTAGAACATACCATAGGTAATCCAGTATCACATTTTTCTCATGAAGTAGTGAGTTGGAAGTATTGGTGTTGGTCAGACTATTCAGTCTTGTATGTTTCTATATTACTGTTAAAGTTACTTTTAAATTTCCAATAAACTTAAAGATGAATTAAAGAAAACTAATTTTTTTTGCAGATAGATCTTTGAAAGCTTTTCTGTTAATTTGTACTTATGAGAGAAATGCTTATCAAAAATTTTATCTGACTTTTTATGTGCAAACATTTCAAACTTCACTAAAGATTATTTGTAGAATGTATTAGCTTAACTGACCTCTTTTAAGATCAGAGAGTTTGAAATATTGTATTCACATTCAGTAAGCACAGTAACACCCTTCTTATCTGAGGGTCTAACAGCTTTGGATGTGTGTTAGTTGCGCAGCTGTGTCCGACTCTTGCGACCCCATGGACCACAGCCTACTAGGCTCCCCTGTTCATGGAACTCTCCAGGCAAGAACACTGAAAAGTGGGTTGCCATTTCCTTCTCCAAAAGCTTTGGATATGTGCAACCAAAAAATTCTCCAGAGCAGCCCTAACAGATATAACAAATTATATTTAGCAAACATAATCACATCAGAATCACCAGAACCATTAACCAGATTTGATCTGCTTGATTGCTTTATTTTGCTTTTAAATTTAATTTTCTTGAAGGATACATAGGAATGCTTTGAAACATCACTTAGTCTTTCAAGGCTTATTTTTTTAAAAAAAAGTACCTGTAAGTACCCTTCCCCATCCTTATCTAACCTCTGAGTTCTGTTCCCAGAGGTAGTTTGTTTTTTTTTTTTTAATTAGTTGGAGGCTAATTACTTTACAATGTTGTAGTGGTTTTTGTCATACATTGACATGAATCAGCCATGGATATACATGTATTCCCCATCCCGGTCCCCCCTCCCACCTCCCTCTCCACCCGACCCCTCTGGGTCTTCCCAGTGCACCAGGTCCGAGCACTTGTCTCATGCATCCAACCTGGGCTGGTGATCTGTTTCACCCTAGATAATATACATGTTTCGATGCTGTTCTCTTGAAACATCCCACCCTCGCCTTCTCCCACAGAGTCCAAAAGTCTGTTCTATACATCTGTGTCCCAGAGGTAGTTGTTTTAAATTCCTATGCCCTGAATACTTATTTAACGAAAATTTTTAGTCATTGGGAGGATGGAGGCGGGTTAGCGGGGAGAAATCATAAAAAAATGAAAGTCTAGTTATACAGTCAAAAATCAATAAGAAATCATCTACAATGTAATATACTGTGATAATATTTCCTTTCAGTGCAACAGTTTGTATTTTTTTTTTAGTATATGTGCTGCTGAAGTGAGCACAACAGTTTATATTTTTTGCTTGGTTTTTCTAGATCTTGAAAGTCTCTGACAGAACTGAAAAACTTTTGCTATAGACAATCACATTCAGGTGTTCTACCAATTTCTTTTTTTTCCTTCTTGGGCATGACCTTCCTAGAACCCTCTGTCCACCTGCTGCATTCTTTGCTGGATTGTTCTCAAGTCATGCCTGTCACCTGCCGTCTTGGTATTTTCTTTTATCATCACCCTGAGCGTTCCTTTCACTGCACTTAGATCATACAGATTTGTTTTCCTCTTAAATATATCCTAGTAGAAAGAAGTCCTTTCAGAGGTGATCATGTTTCAGTGAAAAAAGAAGGCTTGAGTACTGAAGCTTGATATTCCTGATTATTTGACAATGGGCAGATAATTTGATTTTTTGAATCTCATTTCTCTGAATTAACTAGATAATGATTCACAACCTCTTTTCAGTCATGTATCTCTTTGAAATTGTGATGAAATTTCCAGTTTCCAGGTTCTTATTTCCAGAAAAGTATATGTAAGGAACAAACAAAATTTTACATCTGATTCAAGCCCTAAATGAAGAAGTCCTGGGTTAGGTGATTTTAAATGTTTTAATATTTTAGCATTCTTTGATTTTGTGTCTGTCATTCAGTAGTTATCCATGTTATATAGTAGGAGGTATCACTATAAATAAAAACCAAGAAATTTCAACTTCATTTTCTTGAATATTTCTTTGCTTGTAACTCACTTTAGAGTCACCTTTTTTACTGGAAAATGATGACATTTTCATAATTTTGTTTTGAGTAATGCAAACGAGCTACCCCCAAAGACCAATACTTGATTTATGGACTGCTGTGAACATGAATTCTAATATCAGATGGGAAATTTCCAGAAGAAAAATAAGTACAAATAAATTGTTTTTAAGTATTAAAATGTGTGTTGACAATCTAGGTAAATATCTTGTTAAAAAAACTTTTAATAAATTGCATGGTTTATTTTGAGATTTTAAAAGTTCACTACTATCTAATTCTAAACTTCATTTTGTACTGTCATAGCCATCTATAGTCATGAATTTGAAAGTTCCTGTTGAAGCAAAGTGGTTTTCAATCTTAATTTGGAAGACTAATTTAACCGTCAAGAATGGTAATGGAATAAACCAGAATAGGTTTCAATTAATTTTGGGCTTTTGAACTTTTTTTTTAAAAAATAATACAGTACTCTTCTTTCACATATCTCCTTTCTTGTTCCTGAGTAGATGGGATTATTTATCTTTCAGAAGGCATCCTAAACAGGGGCTTAAGTTATAGGAGTTCAAAGATAATTGACACACTACGTATTTCTTTCAAAAAAATATGCCCTGTAGAGTTCTGTTGTAAATGTGTAGGTCGTATTATGAGAGAATGAGGTTGTGTTTTTAGGAGATGACTATGTAAGAGCAGAGTGGCCCAGATAAAACCCCAGATTTTAAGGAGGCACTAGTGACACTGTATAGAAATAGTAAAATAGTGAACTTACTTTATAGAGCTGAGGAAGAACTATATACATCTTGGTCACTGCTTTTATGGAATCAGTAGCCAGCAAGAAAATTTGAATGAATTATGTTTAATAGCTTTTAAATATGAGCCAACAGTGGAATTTATTTAGTAGTTTAAGTGAGAAACCATCCTTAGTATCATGAACTTGATTGATGACTACTGTCAACTATTGATAGTTGGGAACGTTAAATTCTCTACCATTTTAGTGAAGTTCAGTTGTGTGTATGTGTGTGTACTAAGTACATATGTAAGGCATTTCAGAGCAGTAACTTGCCCAGGGTCACACAGATGGTTGAGAAATATTAAGTCTCAGCTTTCATTTCCAAACACCTGTGCTGTTATTTGCAAGTAGGACAAATCCAGCTCAGCCTATCTTTAGCAAAACAAGGGACATTTTGTCTTTCAAGCTAAACTATGAAAAGTGGTGAAATGCATCTCAGGGTTGACTGAATTCTAAGACCAGAGCTTCATCAGAGGTGTCTTATCTGCTTTACTTGAGCTGATTTGTTTCATCCTGCCACGTACATGCAAAAAAACTTTTCTTGCTGTAGAAATATGCCCAGAGGTACCTCCACACTCTCTTTAACTCCTTGAGGAGGATGTGTGGAGGACCGGAATACAGTGGGTTTCCTACCAAAACTATTCCCAACCTTTTTCCCTGTTGGAAGAACCTCTACTTTGTTAGGGAATTCATTATAGAGCATTGTGGCCTGGGAGCATGTATCTAGTCTCAGAGGGCATGAATCCTGATCAGTCTAAGTCAGTCATGGAAGTCTATTTCCCTTGCCAGTGATTGGCTTAGAAAGAGGCACATATTCTGGCTGATGAGATATGAAAACTTCTGGGGAAAATCTTCCATCTCTTAAAAAGAGACCCAACAATAATAGTAACGAAAGCTATATAAGATTTACTGTGTACCGGGCATTTTCTCGGTGATGTATGATATGTATAGTTTAACGTAAATGAATGAAACGAGATGGAGGGTCTGCTTCCTGTCTCCGGACACTTTGGGTGAAGCTCTGCTGCCTGAAGCTGTTGCAGCAAACTTGCTCCCCAGAGGGGAGCTTGACAACAGGCAGAGTTGAAAGACGGAAAGAACCTGAATTTTTCAGGATTTTTTGAGTCACGGAATTAACTAACTCTGGAAATATCTTACTTTGGAACTTCTTATTGTATGAGATAATATCCCCTCATTTTTTTCAGCTACCTGAAGTTTAATTTCCTTGCAGCTGAAGGCATGCTAAATAATTACCAAAAAATGCTTTCTGATGGTATGTGGTT